CCTTTCCTTGATGGAAGCTGGAAGTGCAAATTCAACACGGACAATAATGACCAACTTGTCTATGGAAACCAGCTAGTACAAAAACATGCTGTCAATGAGAAGCCAACAAATTCTCCTTGGAAAAACAAACAAAATACAACTAATGTGATCCAGGTGCATTAGTAAATATTATAACAGAGATTAATTTATTACTAAGAGCTACTAGTGGTCTAGTAGTTCATATGAAAGCTTGCAGAGATGATGTAGAAACCCAGGCAAATCCTTTGCTTTTCCTGGATAGCTACCATGAGTAAGTGAAATTGAAAGCAAAAATTGGGAAGATAAGGTTGATGCTGCAGAGTGACTACAATGGAAACCACAGTCATTCCAAACTTGGAGTTCCTATGAGGGAAAATGCTGTAACTAATCTGATTGCTGGCCTTTCCCACACAATAATGTGGCTCAGAATGAAATTACCCATGAAAACATCAGCCTGTATCAGATCTTCACGTATCTGAAAGCTCACAGAAAAGCTACGAAAGGCCTCACAGCCTCACCTAGCTGATGACAATAACCTGACACTCCACAAGGCCAGGTTGGACAAAGCCTTGGGTGACATGGTGTAGCATAACACATCCCTGCCCATGGCAGGCGGCTGGAACTAGATCTTAAGGTCCTTTCTGACCCAAGGGCTCAATAACCAGCAAGATTCAAGTGGAACATCCACTCTCAGTACAGCAGGTGTCAGAAAGCCCACTATGGCTGATCCAGCTCACACAGGAGCAGGCAGGGGAAGCAAGCTTAAGCTTGCCACCAAAACTACACTGAGTTGGGGCTTGTGAGCAGGGGCAAAGGCAGGTTGGAACTTCAAACTACACCACAGTTTCCTTGGTTGCACAGCAAAACCCCGATAAGGCCAGTCTATAAAAGCAGTTTAAAGAACTTGGAGGACACACAGCTTTCCTGAGACCCAGCCTCTAGCAGATCCTGTTTGGTCCTTGCCTTCAGATGTTTCGGGGCTGCCCAAGAAGGCTCAAAGTGCTCAGATGCAAGCCAAAATCAAGAGCTTCACTCACATCCCATGGGAGGTCTCCCAATAGGCAGGTGAGGATGTGGTAGGATTCTCACCACACCCGAGCCCAAGTATCTAAACACATCCACTCAAGTTAAATCTCTTCACCTTTCACTTCAGCTACAAGGCAGGCTTTTTTGGAGTTGCCTTTGCAAACATTTATCCCAGTAGGTAGTTTTGTGTAATGAAGTAAAACCTCAGCAAAATAAAAGAGCTTCCCGTACAAACAATAAATCCCTACCAAAATCAGGTCTGCCACTAAACATCCTCCTCTCCTCAGGGACAGGAGGAGGAAAACAACACATGACAGATGTTAATCACCTTCCTTAATGAACTGCTTGGAGATATTTAAATACGGTGGTGTTGACTGTGCTGTAAGAACATATGTACAATAGTATAAAACAAAGTAGAAACATGATGTATTATTAATACGCTCTAATTCCTTTACATCTATTTAGAGGCACAGTGAAGGAAGAACATACTGTGTATTCTCACTGTAGCTCTTCTTGGATATAAAGAGACTCTCTGAAGCAAATTCTTCAGCCTACTATACTTCAAGAAATAGTAATCTAAAGCATCAGACATTTCCTATTAAAGTTTTAAAAACATAGCTTTAAGTCATACATTATATTGAATGCTTTAATATCTCATCTGATTCAGTAGCTTTTAAACCCCACAGAGGTCACATTTGGAAGCACTAGTCCCTTTTTACAGCATCTCCAAACATTAAATACAAATAAAAATTATTAGGAGGAATAGAGCCATCTGTAGAGGCTAATAATGTGTCAGTTTGATATTATTATTAATAATACTATTATTTCTGTTTCATATTAGGCAGATCATGGTTGCTAATGGCTATAAACTAGGAGTGATAGCCTTCATTCTGGCCCATCTGTGTTGCAGCCAGAGCAGCATGAGAGGATCCAGTTACAAAACAGTTGTTTCTCCTGACCCTATTTGGTGTCCAGCTTTATCCCTGCAGCTAAACCTAAAGCCTTGGCATGCCCAGCTCAGGTCTGGGATCTAGTTACAACAGGCTCAGGCCTGAGCCCTGCAACAGTGTTTAATTTTCATGTGACCAGGTCAAGGTCAACCACAGGTTGACCAGGTACCCAAGGTTGATTGGGTTAGATGCACAGTCCACGGTTCATGTAACCGAGCGTAACTTCACCAGCTATGGCAGGCAAAACTGCCCTACCCAACCTTTGGAAGAGAAAGGTGGTAGCAGAGCAGTTTTGGTGGTGGCTCTCTACCAAAATAAGAATTCCAGCCTTTTCTTGGTTCTTATCGAAGTTTTCCTTCTGTCAGTTCAGCTGTACATTGCTCTGAGGCTTGGACTAAGAGGTAGCTCAGATGCCACTACCCACAGCTCTTCTCTGTGTACTGCATCTTTACCAAACCTTTCGGACACGAATCTGGCTGTTCTTTGCATTTCTGGTAGCATGACTTGGGTTCAACCCTACAGAGAATCACTTAGAAACATCCTAAGAGTTAATTCAACTAATTGTACACATTATGATAAGCATAAATGGAGAAGTGGCTGTTGTCAAGAAAATGCTTGAGGCAAGACTACATGGACAGGTCTAGTTTAAACATTACAGCAGAATCATTCCATTAACTGATTAAACCAGCACTATACTGAGGAGGCAGTTTCCTCTTCTGTACTACCAAATATGTACAGACAGCCGTCCCTTTCCCCCTCTATGTTACTGTTGTGGGTCATATTTAGTGCTGATGATTTGTAATTTATCCAACAGGTACAGGCACATTTCCCCCAGGTAACATTTGTAAACAGAAATAAAGCTGCTGGTGCATTGTTTGCCTCAGAAACTCTGCAATTCCAGCGTGTCATAGAGTAGGCAGTGATGTGTAACCAAGACCAGTGATAAAAAGAAACTGCAATTGTTTTTTTTAAGGTACAGCTCTAAAACTGTACTATGTGGATTTCCGTGGTGTAGCAGCGCAGACAGAAATGACTTTTTTCCCCTCTATAAGAACTAGTTATCTGATTCTCTTTTGTTTCCTTTATTCCAATGTTCAGTTGCAGTTTAGTGTTCAGAGCTATAAGGATGCATTGAAACTTATGGAGCCTGACATTTTAACTATCTCATCTTAGCATGATTCATCTCAATTTACTTTCTTCAAAAATGGAGCCTGGAAGAATATGAACCATTTGGGGGGCTTGCTAGAAGGCCATAAACTCCATTAAAGAGTACAGTATCAGCTCCCTTCCAAAGAGGGTTTGCTTCTTATGGGTCTCATCCTGCAAAAGTAATAGGTGTCTCCTGGGAAATGCCATGTAGTCTCACAGGTTGAATTCACAGGACTGGGGCGGGGGGGAACTAAGCCCTGGATTGAGACCTCCATTCTCACAGTGTTTCTGTGCTCTGCTATAGGAACAGCAGAACAAAGAGTTCAGAGTTGTTTCTGCTCTGCGTTTGAGCCTTAAGCAGAGCAGAGGTATCTCAATAGTTAAATAATGAGGAGATTAGAAGAGCCTCCATAAATTTGATGGGTTGATATGAGCAAACAAAATCACTCATATGATATTACACAAGTGTCTGTTCAGAAAACACATGATTTTGAAACTATGGCCAGAGCCTGACAAGTATTCTGGGGCAGATCCTCTGTGTACATCAAGTGTCATCGCTCTACTGAAGTCAACGGATCTGTGACAACTTAAATCCACAGGGGCTCTGCCCTTTTGTGCACAATTCTTGCAATAATCAAACTGCAGCACACACAGAGCCCTGCCTGTATGACCATCATGGTATAAAGTGCTCCACAGACAGCAAGGTGCACCACAGCCCATTTATTTGCCAATGGCATCAGTTTCAGTACAGAGACTTGACTTCTATTTAGATTTCAGACCCATCTGAGCTCTGGCTGCAAGGAGGTGAACACAGATTTTAAAGGGGACTTATTCAGGCACCGTTCTTTCAGCACAGCGTTGAGTAAAACCCACAAGTGGACAGCGTTAAATGGCATTAAGGGGCTGTGGTGGTGAATGGGAGGGCAGTGAGCATGGAGGCACACCACTGTCTCCAGCAGGAGTTCAATGACACTTGGCCTGGCCTGTTCCCCTCCTGCACTTGTAGTCACTGATACAGTGAAACAATAATATATCACCAGACCTGACCCTTTGGCCTTTATGAATTATCTGTTTTAGAAAGATGTGAAACCACCTTTTATATCCAACATAATAGATATTTAGACATTGTAGATCAATAGTGAACAAGTTTTCTGGTTATAGTTAATGGGTGCCAGAGGGGCATTCTGACATTGACCTCTGACACCCTTGTTGACAAGAAATCTATAGAGGGGAAAAATAGGAAAGACTGCCAGGTTTCCAAGTTATGAATATAGATCTACAGCGGATCATGGTAATTTTCATTGAGCACAAATTTTTATACTTCCCCTTTCAGATGAATTTCTCCAAAATCCTTAATTCTGACCAATGTAAAATTAATAACTGGTCCTTGGTGAGCATGTGAAAACAACTACTCAGCTGTATGACACAGTTTTCCATCTGTTACTCATATGATGTTGTTCTGCTGTCAAAGAAGACATTTCCCTTTATAGAATAGGCTGTCATTTGTAATTCCAAACCAGCACAGATTTGTTAAACAGCCACATCATAATGGGTCTGGATAGGAAGAAATACAGGCTCCTGGTTCTTGAATGAAACTTGTCTAAAATTACTTTTAAAGGAAAATAGGTTTATAGGAATTTAAGGTTGTGGTTTGTTGCAAAATCAGTTGCTAAGATGCATGGCCATCAAAGCAGTAAAAGAAATCCTTATTCCTTAACCCATCACACACATTAGCTAACTTTTCATGTAATTAAGTGATGCAGTGAAAGACTGTTAGTAAACGTGGTACTATGAGTATAAAACTCTTATCTCCATATCACAAACATTGTGGTGCTCTATCAGGTACGTTGTGTTCACCAGAAGCACTTTAAGCAAAGCAGAGAGAGCTAGACTCCAGCAGTCTGCTTTACATTGCAGCACAAACCAGCATGCCTCCTGGTAATGAAATTAGCTCTGTCACATCAAGTCAAATGAAACTCCTGTGAAAGGAGGTTTCCAAAGCGTCTCCCCTCCAACGTACCTACTGTATTATTATGTCACACTCCAGCAACGCCACACTGAGGTCTCCGTGGCCTTCCTGCAGCTAAGCTCCATTGAAAACACATTTGTCCTGGCTGTTCTTTTCTTTTAGCCCTCCTCTCATCTTGTGCAAGATGAATCGCTGCTGGGTGCAGACTGACTCCGAGGGCAAAGCCAGGTCTTGAGGAGGTAACCTGCCTCCTACGGCTTAAACATTTTAATTCATTTGAACACTGATGCACAAATGAGAGTTAATCACTGTGCTGTGGTGCTTTCTCATTTACTAAGTTTATTCATTAAAACTTTCCTCACTGAACTCTGATTGAATGTCATGCTTTTTAAAAGGCCTCTCAAACAGCCCGAAGGCTTTCAAAAGTGATGTCTCAGGCTGCTCCTGAAATGCTTTTTACAATTTGCTTTGCAAGGAAGAATGTGAAAGTTGGGTGGGAGACGGACTGAGAGACGCAGTTAAAACAAGGTTACTTGGGCAGCTTAACAACAGGGATGCTTGGAAACACTCCAGGAAACACACGTGTGACTAAAATCATCTGCTAGATGTAGAAGACATGTCTTAACTTGAACAAATCCTACACCAAAGCGTTTCACAAGCCTCACAGTTTAAAACTGTCCACATGAGCATCACGCTGGCTTTTGTCGTTTAGTGCAAGGATGTAATATATGCTCTATGACTATTAATTTTATGAGATTGCTTGAGATTACCCTGTTCTATGTTTTACTGCTGTGCTATATAACAAAAAAGCATGGTGATAATGTTATTTGTTTTAGATAATATATTTGCAATGTGTTTGCTAATCTAATTATTTTAGAATCAATATAATAAAACCTTAAGTACACAGTTTGGTCTATTAATTGCTATAACTAAAATCTAAAATTTATTGTTGAAATGGAGGTTCTTTATTTCAAATTAACTGAAGCACAATGTAATCTTTACCTTTTTAATTAACTGTGTTCAATATTAGGTAAAAAAATACCTCCCATTTCCAGTTCCTTAATGAAGGCTGCAATCAGAAAGGCTGACATTCCATCATACATTTAATTGGCTTTTTTAAAGTCATTTACACCACTTGGATCTCCAAGGAAGTTGTAGTTAAGAAAAGAGTCTCTGCACATGGTTTGGTGGGAAGATTCACTGAGAAACTAGATCATAGGTGCACAATACTTGTATAAACCAACCAAAGCCCCTGTGGGCATGGCTGTAAAGCTCTGTAAGGCAAAGTAACAATACTTGTTTATTTGTGCCTCTGGCTACCTATGGGCACTGGGCTTTACACAGCACCTGGGCTGCTTTGGAAGCTTCTCTCTGTGATTCACACAGTACACCACTCTGTGTATTCACATTCTCTATTAGATGTTCCTGGTTTATTATAGTTTTCTTTTGCACTCTTCCTTTATTTTGGGAAGCAGCTAAATTGTCAGCACAGACGGTCCCTTAGGACCTAAGCTGTCTTAAGCATCCAAATAATTTCTGTTAAGCAGAACGTTTTGTTGTAAAAACCCCATGACACCGTGGGTGGTTAAGTTAGGTAAACTGCCTCAAGTGGCTCTATTAATACCAAAATCCTGCCTCTGTAGCTGGTATGAGCTCAAAGTTTACTCAGGCAATGAAAATGTCTAGCTGGAGATTAAGGCTAACCTTCTTCAAGTTTATAAATCACAGCCACTTCTGTATTTGAATCAATTTAAAAAATGAAAGAACTGTGGTAGTTACTGCTTCTATTGCCTTTACACTTCACCCACTGCCCTATCGCTTCTCCTACCATTTGGTTTGGGGTTTCCAGCAGCCACAACTCCAACAGGCTAATTCGTAGGTGTGTTATCTCACTGCGCCTTCAGCAGTGATGACCTCCTGTCTCCAGACTGGGTAATAGTCAACCTGTTTGTAGCCCTCTGACCCACAATTAGGGTATCTAAGTACTGCAGTAATACAGCATCCACATCCTCAGCTTCCAGCACACTGCCTCAGACTTCAGCCAGGCCCCTACCTTGTGTTTTGCCCTATCAAACCAAATACCATGATTTTCCCTAAAATTCCTCCTTTAAAACTCTGATACTAATATTTCATTAAGGACATTTCCGTCTGCTTATTCTTATGCTGCTGCATAAAAAGCTTTCCGTTCTCTTTACCTTTTTATACAAACACATCTACCGATGTACTGTATTACTGGATGGAAATGTTCATCAACTTTTCAGGAATGACTGCACAGTTTTTCTCCTCTTGCTGGGAAATTTATGAATCGGTATTTTCGGCTTCATTGCTGCTCAGATGCTGTGAAACAATCCTTATGTTCTGATCTTTCTATGGGATCATCAAACTGGAAGTCCTATTGAATTGGCTGCATTTCTGTTTCCACCTCATTATGGTGGGTGGCACCGTAACACATGTACAATTGGAGCCGGAGTCTGTCCTTTCAATCCCAAACAGGAAACTTTATTAGAATAAGAATCATGGTCACTGAGTGAATTACTTCATCTCCCTCCTCCTTTCTGTGGTGCTGTCCCAGAGATCCTCCTCTTAACTTTATATTAGGGATTGAAGCAAAGTCACAGGTTGTAGTGGCTATCTCAAATACCAATACACCCACTGTACACTTATTTCTGTACATACCTGTATTATATTTAATAAAATCATGAGGCTGAAATTCTACTTCAAATATTAACTCTTACAATCAAAGACCTACAAGAGTCCTCTTTCTGTAGCCTGTGTAAATGCCCCTGTGCAAACCAGAAAGCAGTGACACCCTCTGATGAATGTGCCTCTGCTCCATCCTGTCTGCACACAACATCCCTAAATGAATTTCAAATAACAAATCTGTTTGTAAAACTTAGACTTTGCCAGCAGGCAATTCATAAACAAAACCTACTCTTTCCTTTAAATACATTAGTAGTTATGAATAGCTTACCCAGCTCTAGTCACTACCTGGCAGTGAAAAATTGACAATGGAGTTATTAGGATAATATACTTAATTAATAGAAATATTAAAAGATTCACCATTAACCTGCATTTGCTCAGAATGCCAGAGGGGTGATTAGTTAGAATGGCACAGAATGCTTTATCGTACTTACTGTTCTCACAAGTCAGAGAGAGGAAAACGGAGATCTACGTCTCCACTGGATGTGAAGCATGGCCTTAATGGTATCCAAAGTTTTAAACAGGAATGAAGATAAAGAGGACATGGAAAAGTTATACCTTGAACTGACTAAAGGGATTAGGACACACCAAAAAGATACCTTTTTGTGAGATCACTAATAGCTTCAAATCAATTTGTTCCAAAGCTTTCTTGACTGGAAGCAATTGTCCGTCTTTAACACTTCTCACAGTTCAGTATCTGCCCCTAGGGATCAAATTTTTGCTCAAAACGCCACAAACATCTCATCATGGATCAGATACACAGTATAAGATGCACAGAATGAGTCTGTGAGCCCATTACAGATGGTCTGCAAATCGCTGTCTCAAAGCAATAAAATGTGTAAATGTTTCATGTATCTGTACTTTGGCAAAGCATGGGTTGAAGCTCACATTGTTTGTTAAGCTGCAGAAGATGAAGAGCACCAGGGGTTCTATAGAACGTACAACAGTTTGATTCAAGGAACAGGAACAACAAAGCAATGGGGAGAGGAATCAGTGACTGTGGCAGACGGATGGATTTTGTGGGAGTTAGGTTTGTCAATCCAGAGAAGCCAACAGCTGGATTCCAGAAGGCTCAGGTGGGGCTGGCCTCAACGCATTTCTCTCTCTTGATAAACTGATGGGGTTTATCTCCTTTTGTTATAAAACCTCAGGATAGTCCAGGCATTAATAACTTAAAGGGAAAAAGAAAAGATCCCACACCTCATTATCCAGCTTCCTGTTTGAGGGATGGTGTGAGACCACATTAGTGTATGTTTGGAAAGCACACTGCCACAGTTAAGCGTTGCAATAGAGATGCTAATTCAGAATTAAATAGATCACTGGGAGCCAAGTTCACCAACAATAAATCTGAATTCAGTCACCTGGAAACCCCAACAAGGCTTTGATGCTATAGAAATTGCATGGATTCCTCTCCCTAAATGTCTTCCTGTAGGTATGCAAAAGCACTTCCAGCTAATATGACAAGACAATATGTGTTGTTTCCTTGCAAGGTGAAGAGTGACACATTAGGGACTATAAATCGATAGTCTGAATTTTTAAAGCTCTAGTTTTGCACAGGAACCTCACATAGATTCAAACTTTACAGCTTCAGCATCACTCCTGTTAACAACTGTTTACAAAATGGTGAAATAAAGAGGAGCCATTGGAGTCCCACCCCAAGTCCTGCCACAGCACCTCTACTCAGCACAGAGCTGAATGGATGAGAGATTGAGAAAGTTAACAAAATCCACATTTTCTTCCTTAAAGAAATATTTCCTAGTGACACATTTTGGATTGCATGCTCTTTGAAATACCGGAGCTATCACAGCATGTTGCTGGGGAGAAAATATGAAAAGCTAGCAGTGCTAAGTGCAAAATGTGTGACATACAGACAAATACATGTCTGTGCATGCATACGTATAAAGATAGACCTACAAAAATAATGCACGCCCCAATAAAAATACTTATGAACATGTAACTTAACTGCTTAGGGAAAATCTAAACTATGATATTCTTGTTTATATTCAAGAAGTGCTACTTGGCAAGTCAGCCTTGTTCTAATGTTCCCTTTAAAATCCCTATGACTGTAGCACTGTCAGGGATAGCAGCCTGCAATCTGCATGGACACCTGGATACTGGGATGGAAGATGGAGGGAAGGAAGGAGCTGGAGAGGGATTCAGGGCTATTCTGTGTTCACCCAGGCTATAAGTAACAGTGCTACAGAGTCTCAGAACCAAACCAGAGTTTTGTTTTGAGCTACCTTTAAGTTAACTTTTAAAATAAGAAAATTTGAGGTAAATAGCAG